AGATGCCGTGCTCTGCCGCGACCTGCCGGCTACAGTTCGAATTCGAATTCGTCCAGCGACCGACTAGTGAGGTGAGGACGACTATATCTCTATTAATCGTCCGCACGGATTGGCAGTGTCTGCGGCTGCACTGTGAGCGTTCCGAGAGCACAACTAATACAAATGTACTGATGTATTTGTACTGACAATGAGACAACTTTTCACCGCGCGTCGTATCAGTTTACCTTTCCTCTAATGGGAATTAAAACTGCAAAATCTCGCTGTTAATCTTCTCACTAACTACTTATCCAGACCATTGCTGGCAAACCTACCACGATGCTCGAGATACTCTTCGCCTCGAATCTCATGTCTACTGCATTGCCTTAGTATGTTTAGTAAATTCTGTCAACTGAAAAATACTGGGGCAGCCAAGTTGTCAGTGGTACACGGAAGTTACTGCTATATTCAAGAGACAAGTCAGATGCAAAGTTGGGGAAAAATCGAACCTGATATTGTTAGGTTGATGCAGAAGTAATGAGCATTTATCACGTTTGCTTATCGCACTGGCGCTGTAGAGAAGACACAAAAATGTAAAAAAAAATCATTCAGTAGAACATAGTTAGCTCTACAAAAGTTGTTTAAACAATCGCAGGAAGCGTTGCACGGGAACTTTGGAAAAGTCTGATACAAGGTAAGGTTAGAAGAAATCCGAAAATTTTTAAGCACCCCAAAGTCGAATTTTATCCAAATCCTACAACCTCAAGTTACTTGAAAAGATCACCTATCGCATCAGCTACTTTTATGTACATTTCTGTGACTCAAGGAAGGTTCTGTTAACTCGTTTTAAAACCGTAGCCTACACCACCTCATATAGGTGCATGAAGTAAAAAGTCTATAAGTGACTATGGATGTAGGGCGATTCGCACCACCGTTATGCTTCTCACACAGGACCACCGCCGCGCGCGACACATCCTGCGGCGGCTTCCCTAAGCAAAGCAAGGGGAGGAAAGGTTTGCGACGTGCGTGACGTGTTCAGACAAGTTAAAATCAGGGTGGCGCTTGAGAACGTCCACGCGGAAAGACCGTCTCCCGTGAACTGAGTGTTTTTATAGATTCCTTTCTAAGTGGACTGATGAACTAAAATTTGCACACATTGGTTTTCGACCTCGTAGGGCTGGCTCCATAGGCTATTTTTTGTGCCGATTCGCCTGCAAGCAGGTGGATTAATATTGTTACCGGAACCCTTGTGGCGCAGCTTGTTGGTCAGGTGACGGAGTCTGGAGCATGTCGGGGGAAAAAAAGAAGCCGAAATAGATTGTCAGTAGAAGCACCACTTCTCACAAGCTTTGCAAGGAAATTTTTTGTTGAGCCGGTCATGCCTGATTCACAGCGTCAAGTGATTCTGCATAAAATCATGCCGATCTTGAAGTATGAAGATAAGCGCATGTCTTCCTTTTTCCACACATTCGCCTCTCTTTATGGGCTTATACAGTGCTGGCCAAAATTATAGGTCCACTCTAAAAAATATAACTCACTCTGTTGTGAATGAAATTTTCCAAAATTTGGTACAGACGTGTGTTTACCAGCCTACTATCAGTCTTCAAAATGGTCTTCGTTTTCGTTTGATTATTCAAGAAAAAATTAGAAATGTTGAAAAAAGCATGCTTGAAGGCTGGCCAAAATTATAAGTCCACCTAGAGTTTTTACTGATCATAGCACTTCTTAGCTCCCGAATTTTTTTAGGTAGGCACACATCCAAAAACGTTAAACAGCTGCATTGGTCAAGCTGTGTCACACCTCCAAAAAGAACTGATTATCTGCCTTTTTTGCCTTGAAGATGCACTCACATGTATTTCGCTCCACAAACCTGCGTTGAGTAAGAAGTTCTGCAGTTTCTCAGCTGGATCGGAAGGGACGGGGTTCCATCTATCTTCTGGATGCTTTTTGACGTGAGCATTGAGGAAAAAATCCGACTTTTTGCTGCTGAAGCAAGTCTGACATTGACAGTAGTGCAATCCTGAACTCAAATTTCTGCCTTCAAACTTCTTTTACAATGTTCTCAGAAGCATTGAGTAAAGTAAAGGCATTGTTTCTATAAAGGGGAGTGCGTAAACCATAGTTACAACTTTATAGAGATCCTAGCATTCGAGTATAATTATTGAAATCACTCTGCAGAAACTGATTACGACGAGCACCAAAGCTACTTGTGGCTCCGACCAAAATTTCCAGAAGAATCATGTGCTAACATACACTACAAGTTGTATCCACTATCTAGTAAATAATTACTGTCAAAAATCTAAATGATGTAGCACTTGGAAAGCCATTTTGGATCGCGTAACACCATTATTACGTTGCACACACAACTCATGTTTCGAAAAAGAAGCAAGGCAGCTTTGTGGACACTTGCGAGTATGGCGAACAGCTTTATTCTTGTGCAAAAAATGCTTCTACAATATCTTGAGGTTATAATGACAATGCATAAAGGGTTTTAAGGCAGAAACTGAGGCTTACTCTGCCGATTAAGCCGATGTCAGATTTGCTTCAGCAGCAAAAAGTCGGATTTTTTCCTCAATGCTCACGTCAAAAAGCATCCAGAATATAGATGAAACCCCGTCTCTTCCGATCTAGCGGAGAAACTGCAGAATTTCTTACTCAACGCAGGTTTGTGGAGCGAAATACATGTGAGTGCATCTTCAAGGCAAAAAAGCAGATAATCAGTTCTTTTTGGAGGTATGACACAGCTTGACCAATGCAGCTGTTTCACGTTTTTGGATTTGTGCCTACCTAAAAAAATTCGGGAGCTAAGAAGTGCTTTAATCAGTAAAAACTCCAGGTGGACCTATAATTTTGCCCAGCCTTCAAGCCTGCTTTTTTCAAAATTTCTAATGTTTTCTTGAATAATCAGACAAAAAACGAGAACCGTTTTGAAGACTGATAGTAGGCTGGTAAACACACGTCTGTACCAAATTTTGGAAAATTTCATTCACAACAGAGTGAGTTATGGCATTTTTTAGAGTGGACCTATAATTTTGGCTAGCACTGTATAACCAGTCGCAAATGCGGAGCTCACTTATATCACAAATTTGGTTTTGGTGCTTCTTCACGTTTTACCTAAGGTGCTGAACATCACAATAAGAAACTGAGGCTCACAGTGACTTCCTTTTCTTCTTTTTACTGCTTTTACTGGACTTGGTTTCTGCCGGCGTCGAAGACGGAATACTCGATTTTTTATTCTGCAATAATGTGAATCTTCAACGTTTGTCATTCTTGCAGTTCTTAAAAGACATTTTTCAAGCTTACTCCGTATGGCCTCGGGCAGAGTTCACGCGAGTTGATCGCCGCGATTGATCGCGACAAGCCAACTGTAACAATATCATTGTGTGCCGATCTTCTTGCATTTCGGTTGTGATAGTTTTCCTACATGGCTAGCCGTGACTAACTATCACAACCGAGATACAAGAAGATCTGCATGCAATGAACTCGTAACACTTGTCTTGTAGCGATTGGATCGCGGCGATCAAATCGCGTGAACTCTGCCCGAGGCCTATGGCCCCGGACAGACTTCACGCGACTTAATTGTCTTGATCTAATCGCCCAGATTTCCATTCATTTTCATTTCACATTCAAAAATTTCGGGCTGGAAAAGTATCACAACCGAATGCAAGTTGATCGGAATGGAATGATGTTGTAACAGCTCAGACACTTTTTCCTACGGCCCGCGCGCTTTCACGAGCCTACCGTGCGAGCGGCGCGCCTAGATTTGTGGGCGTGGCATCGTTTCCGACGGGCGGCGCGCCATCGAAAATTGCCGTGCGAGCGGCGCGCCTTGCCTTCGACGGGCGGCGCGCCATCTTGAGTGACCGGGCGAGCGGCGCGCCATCAACAAACATGTAAGAACAACGATCATGTAACTTAACAAGACGCGTAAGCATCATTTTGAATTCGTTGTCAGCCGTAGGAGGTTGCATTTGTTATCGCATCTTGGTTGCTTGTCCATTCTTTGTAAGTTTTTTTCTGGTTCACATTTTACAGTCATTGTCATTCATGTGCCCCCTATTCCGTACATCTTAGCGTCCATATTGCGTCCGCTATTCGGCTATCCGGGCCCCAAAATTTTTTGTCATGGATTTCGCTCAAACTTGGTCCAGAGGGGTTATCTGACGTGCTGGTCACAATTATCACCCTTTCGCCGCAGGAAAGCGCCTCCCTGCAGGGCTACGGTAGGTATACGGTAGGGGTCAAAATCACAGATTTGCCCGAAACTTGCCCCAGAGGGGTTACTCGGCCCGCTGATGCTAAATATCACATTGGTTTTGAACCGTAACGTCATTTTTTCGGACTACGATAGCTAAACGTTAACGGGTGTAAAACGTATCGTTCATTCGTTGACCGTACGGACTGCCGACCGCGTGGCGACTGCGACGCGTGCCTTCTAAACTTGCGAAAAAGTGACAAGTTGGACCGTGGCTTAAGATGAGAAGAATTCTTTGTTTCTTTTCTACATTATAAAGATGAGAAGAATCCTCTGTTTTCTTTCTATTCAACTTTTCTACGAAAACATCATGCACGCGCAGCGGTCGCCGCGCGGTCAGCAGTCGTTACGGTCAGCGAATAAACGATAGTTATGCAGGGAGACGTAACTATGCAGGGAGACGTTTTCGTGCGGAGTGGTTTTTTGGTGCGTGCCATCATCAGAGTTGTTTGCTATGTTTTTTCTTGATGTTACAATATTTTGAAAGATGTATCGTGCCGCGGTTAGTCTCAAGCGTAAATCTGGAGGACCACAAACGTATGCGAAGCCTAGACCTGTTTTTCCACCATGTCTCACTGGGTATGTTTGTTATCTGGTTTTATTACCTTTAGTAGTTTCGTTTTCAGTAGAGAGAATCCTTTTGTTTAAAATATTGTCGAAGACGAAGGGGCACCCTCAGATATCCAGATGGAATTAGAAGTTCCACAAGGTTCAGAGCTTTTGCTTTTTTTCCTTTCTGTTATGTTTCCTAGACTTTGTTTTTTCAGGTAACGTGTATGAAAGACGCGAGTTTCATGTTGAAACTCCTCTACGAGGAGTTCAGCCTCTTCCGTTGCCTAGATCACTTCATGAATGTGTAGAGAACGGAATCTTGCACATTGACAGGGCAGCCCGTTTAATTTTATCGAAGATGCATCGCCAAGAGTTTAACGAAGCGATCTACTACGTAAGTACGAGTACATTGATTTTGATAAAAACATTCAATTCTTTTCTAGGAGTTTATCAGATCCGATATCGTACTACGCGCTAAAATCACTTACGGCAGTTTGAATCGCATGGTAGGATTGGACATCCACTCGCTATGGCATATTGCTAATCGCATGACAGTACGGCTGCACATTTTGGGATGTCATATATTCCGGTTTTTTTGCTCAATCAGGTCATTCTTACCGGTATCTAAAAGTGCTCTCTCAGTATCAGCATGGCTGCTGTGCTTTACTTGTTTTCAACACGGTGCTTAGCGTAAAAGGTATTGATGATATTATAGTTGTTGCCTGTTGTGTTCTGCTTTTGATTCTGTATTATGTCGTTCTGTAAGTCTTTGGATAATAAATCTGCCATCATCATACCTGTATACATGTTTGGCAATAAACCTGACGCTATTTTGTCGTATTTCAATGACAAAATATGAATTTTATCAAAGGCTATCTGTATCATAATAGGGTCCTACAACGCTTTCGAAGGAGCGGGCGAGCGGCGCGCCTTCAGCGAGCGAGCCGCGTACCTTCATTCCACGGGCGGCGGGAGGCATGAGCGCTCGCACGCTCAAGGCGCGCGGGCCGTCGGAAAAATTGTCTGAGAGTTGTCTCGTCGCGACTCAATCGCCAACATTTCCATTCATTTTCATTTCACATTAAAAAATTTCGGGCTGGAAAAGTATCACAACCGAAATGCAAGTTGATCGGCATGGAATGATGTTGTAACAGTTGTCTCGTCGCGATTCAGTCGCGACGATCAAATCGCGTGAAGTCTGCCCGAGGCCTATGACGAACTATCCGAAAATATATCAGCAATTTCTGCTCTTTTTGCAATTTTAATTCACATTAGACTCTACCTTTTGCGTATTTGCAATTGGAGAATGATTGCTGCGCTTCCGTCCGCAGAAGAACCATAGAGTACTGGGAATCAATATGGTTACAATAAAATATAGAAATCTTTTAATCTTGATTTCCATTCTCGTATATGTGTTTCGAAACCTAAAGAAGCTACGTTTTTTTTTTCGATAAACATTTGGGAAAGAATATGGGATTACTTGAAGTGAAATATTCGCGTCAGCATTCGCGTTTAGTTTTTCGACTGTGTGCAACCACTAGCAGTTCGTAAATGATTGCTATCTTACAAATCTTTGTTTTGGCACAAATGGATTACGAATGTTGACAAGAAATCAGTGGTAACAATTTGCTGATAACAGTGTTCAACGTTATCACAAACTCTAATAACTCAACCCTGGTTTTCTTCTTATTTTTCGCTTCTGAATATGTTGTACGCGAACGCGATAAAAACTCATGAATGTCAAGATTTTCTATTTTGACTCTTTTATACTGGAGCAAACTCATGCAGGGATGCCATGAACTTTGCAGATTTAACCTATTTAACATCATCAGGATGCCTCCTCTGTTTGAACAAGTTCAGCTTCCTAGAACCAAGCACTTTTGCTGGGAGTTCTAATGAATCATTTATTTCATAAATTACAAAAATTGTCTCGAAAAAATTTCGAAGGTAAGACTACGTGTTCCTAGTCTTGAGGAGAAAACTTGACAAGAATTAGCGAATTTTATACTGATAATCACTGGCAATACCTTTCGTTATCAATTAACTTGCTAAGTTTGTGAACAACAATAATTAAGAGAGACCGGCAGACCACTGTGTATGAGAATTGAGGAGCATCTGCATGGTACAAATTTCAGATCCAGTACTGCCCTAGGCGCACACCGCAGTCAGAAACATTGAAATTGACATATTAGTATAGCTGTCACCATCTTAAAGGCACCGTCCACCCTAAATTAGGGTCTTGAGCTTTTGACAGCTTACTGTAATAGGGCTATCAGGTTTGTGCTCAAGTCGCGGCGCAAAATGTCGCTTAGGAAGCGAGGGAAATAGCGATGAGACATGAGTACCCACCGCCCCCTCCAATTATGCCCCTCCTGCCCCCTCCCTTCCTCCTCCTCCGCCCATCCCTGCGCGATCTGTTCACCGTTGGGGAGAACTGGCCTGCGAGTTCTCCGGAACGGGCATCGTCGGGGTTTTCGCGGACTCTCGACTTCATTTACGAAATCAGGGACATGAGAAGGCCCCAAAACGACCAAAACATGGAAGTGGAACATCTGACCGGACGATGCCTCTTATAAGTGACTCAAAGTTTTCCTCGTAAACGCTACAAGCATCTTATATATAAAGCTGAATGTCTGTATGTATGCCTGTCTGTACGTATGTGCGGAATAGAAATTTTTATTTCTGAACCGATTTGGACCAAACTTGGCACACATCTTCGGGGCAGGGAGCGTGTCATAGGCTACTTTTTGTTATCGATCGGTGTCGATAAAAGTGGACTAAGACACGCTCCCTGCCCCGAAGTGTATGTGTGCAAAGTTTGGTCCCGGGCGAAGCCGGGTTTGCCATCTAGTTTTGGATAAAATAAAGCTCATGTGTCGGACCGCAAGGAGGAGGCGCCATTAACGACAATCTTTCATATAGTCCCTTGCGGACTCGACTTCAGTGATAGTCTCTATCATTAACTGTGCAGACTCTGGATTTGGCGGTACTTCCGAGGTGATCATTAACGACTCGGCTCACGTTACTGGTACACCATCTCGCTGAATGTAATCTTGGCTTAGACAAGCTGTTCGGGAGGACAAACGCTAATGAGTACGACCTTTTCGGCTCAAACGAAAATGACAGAACGGAGACGTTAGCCTGATTAATAAAGAGTGTTAGCAGTCTTGATTATTGTCTGAGACAAACATAAATTACAAAGCTAGGGCAAGCTCATCCACAATCGAGCTGAGGTCGGCAAACCATCTCAAAAACTCCTTGAAGAACATGCGAATTTCACGTTATCATTCGAAAAAATTCGTCCTCCTGCCCCCGAAGATAACTATGACCGCCACTGCTTACTTTGCAATTAATAAATAGTCTTCTTCTGCTGTACAATCATTTGTCATGTGTCTTGTTGCGATAGTGAGCGATCGCGAGGGATGCACTTTCACGCAAACTCTGATATTTGTTCGTATTAGCAAACTGCTTTAGCCGCCGCTATGATTTTTCCTATGTTAATGTTTCACTTTGCTTCCAAAATTGTTTATTAAATAATGTAAATTTAAAGGGCCGCTGTACTAGATCAAAGGTCATAATCCAGTTGTTTTGCTTTGTTTTTTTTTTCAGAAATTGGTATGGCATGGAAAAAGGAAATCATTTCCGAAGTGTATTTACCCTTTTGCTATAAATATCACTTTTTCGATGTCGCTAGATTCGCCATCTCGAACACATTTCAAAAACAAAAGATGAATGAGCGATGACTATGTCCTCACATCAGTGCGCGAGAGCAAGTGTGCTTGAGACATTTCATTTTTGTTGCTTTGCCTGTTTCTTTTCGTACGTTTGGTTAAGAAAAGCTGTGGTGCTTTTAACATTTATAACGAATCTGCTGTTTAGCTCGTTCCACTTCCTTCCAGGAGTAGGAGTCTTGTAGAAAAAACGCTGACATAGATAAAGGTTTCCATAAACAAAAATTTACATATTTTCATCAAGTCGCTACTCGATCTTTTGTGGTATCGCGAATTGTGGTTTGCACGCCGAGCTAAGTTGAAGTTTTTGCTTATTTCACCTAACACTCAAGGTATGTCAAGTACAAAAGAAAATCTCACTGAGTCAATTATTATTGATTATTTTCTACAAAGTTGTTATAGTCTAGGTCCTCCCCACTTTCCTATGGACATAAAAAACCTCCTCATAATGCCATTTTGTAATTGTAGATATATTTCTGTTAGAGCTACCTTGAAGCGATGAGGCTCATTAATACAAATTCCTTAGTGCAAAATTTGTTCTACCAAACTTTTATGTTAAGCTTCAACACTTTTCCTCCTCGTAAGTGCACTAATCATCGATTGTTAATTGCCTGAAAATAACGAAAATGGCTATTTCTGGCGGAGCAACGGGCGTGCATGTGGTGCCAATCAACCAATCGCGTCGTAAGGGTACAGAGTTGTCTCTCTTACACCCAGTGGAGCTGTGATTGGCCAGTTGGCAGCAAGCGCCACGCCCTTTCAGCAGATCTGCTGGTCGTCCCGAACGATTTCTTCAATCTTTCGCTGCTAGTCCACGAAGCATTACAAGAAAGTTCCCGGGCACTTGCGAAAATTTTTTTCAAATCGCTATAACTTCAAGTAGATTGATTTTTTTCCAAAGCCACAAAATTTATCGAGACAGTTTTGTTTACAACATCTACCTTGCTGGATTTCGGTTTTCCTCACTGCGGTTCACCGGCGTACGCAGTAAAGAAAAAGGTCAACTAAAAGTGGCCTACTTGTGCAGGATTTTCTCAGTCATGATGAGGGCTGGAAAGCTCAGATGCTTAGATGCTTTAGTTATGTAAAAGTCTGCTGGAGCTGTCAAGGAGACTATTTACGCCTTTAAGCGATTTATTACAAAAAAAGTTTTTTTCAGAAAGTTTGAAAAGTCGACCATTTTTTGCCCCCAAAAATGCACCATTTTCGAGTGAGTAATTTTGAGAATTTCTCATTCTGCACAGGGGAACCAAATCTTTGATTACTGCGGCCATTGTTGAAGTAGTGCCTTACACATCTTATAGACCCATCATTCAAACGTGGCGATCCCCGCAGAAGCGACGTCAGCTGCGAAAAGAGTTGCAGTCAGAGGCAAAATCGGTAGCTTGGAAATTCTGAGCGCAGATCGCAAAACTCGAGTGCAGCTGCGGGTCAGAAGTTAACAGGTTCCTCAATCAGATCACCTACGATTTGAACGATTTTTTTTTTGAACTGTACAAAGAATTAGTCGCAGGAAGAAAACTTGTGATATTTTTGTGGTTGGAAAGGTTTCTTCTTTTGATGTGCAGATCAACACGTTTAGGAAGATGAAAATTCGAAGCTGTTTAGAAAATTTTAGGCTTTCCTCTACCAAACAGCATAAAAAAGTTGGTGTCAAAGTCCGACTGAGTGCAAAAAAAATGCGAAAATTGCCCAGGAACTTTCTTTACAACCTAATAGTTACTGCGGCTCACGCTTCAAATTCATACACTTCATCCAAATTAGTCTTGCTTTTGACGTGTATTTTCACTGTAAAAGTGATCGGTGTTTGCACAAATACCGATGTAGAGTATTTACAGTTGCACTTGCTTCCCACAACAGTGCTTACGTCCTTTGTGGCCTTCAGCAGGTGTGTCGATATTTTCTAGTTACCCATCGTATTTTCATAATGTCTTATATTGATTCGTATATTTCGCATCAAACGATGGTAAAGAAACTGATTCATTCCGAGAGCTTCTATGTTGATTGTTCTGTCCTCTCTTTACAGCCCTTTGCTTGATTTATACACTTCTATAGCGGCAGAAATGCACGTTTTGC